ACACACACACACACAACGATAAATAAAAATTACAATATGGATGTATTTAGATGTAACAAAAAGTATCTATATTCTATTAGCTTTGTATTTTACTTAGAGTACTACATTTTCAAGATGAAGAAAGGAAGATAAAAACATCTAGATAAAAGACAACTACTAAATCTGAACTTTGGGCATGAAAACTCTAGATTCCAGGAAATTGGTTTATGCCAACTGGGTAAGGAGATAAGAACTGAGGACAAAGTATGATTTGGTACAGAAAGAAATTGATCTTCTCTGTTGGAAGTGAGGGGAGTAGCCCTGGGGAGGATTTCTCAGTGTGGCTACAGACCATTTATTTTAGAGTCATCCAGAGCTGGGTAAATTGCAGATTCCTACATCTTCCATAATAAGATCTCCAGGTAGTAAACATAAGGTACTAGTAAATATTTTAGATGATATTTCTTCTCATGAAAAGTTTGAAAATCGTGGATGGAGTGGCTAGGCATGCAGATTTTGAACAAATGTATTCAAAGCCTCACCTCTTTTAGAGAGCTGGGTCTATTTGCAGAGGCAGTGTCTCTAGTGTGTAGAACTCTGTGCAGCACATTGCTGCTCATAAAAGAAATTTGCACAATGAAAAAAATGTCAAGAAGACTGTTGGAACCTCAACACATTTCGGCAGAACAGAATAAAAGTGAGGCTGGTAATCTCTCATTTACAGTGCTGCTGGAATAAGGAGGTGAATTGATATGAATACGTGACTCCATGTAGTGCTTGAAACCCAAACAGGGCTCCCACGGCAGGGCACTGGAACTGGCTTACCTGTGGTAGTCACACAGAGGCTTCTAAAGGATGGAAAAAAAACAAATAAGCAAGCACTTTGCCTCTGAGATGCTCAGAGCTGGGTCATATGCTCTCCTGGTACTTGTTGGAGAGATACTGAGCATGGTTGTTTGAATGAGAATGGCCCCATAGCTTCATGTAGTTGTACACTTGGTCCCCTGCAGGAGGTGCTGTTTGGAGATTACTAGCAGCTGGAGGAGGTGCATCACTGGGAGCAGGTTTTAAGGGTTTATAGACTTACCCACTTCCTGTTCTCAGTAGCTCAGCTTCCTGTGTATGAATGGAACAGCCAGCTCCTGCTCCTACCTTCATAATTTCTCTGTTGTCATGCCTCCCCCACCTTGAAGGACTCTATCCCTTTGGAATCTTAGGCTAAAATAGATCCTATTTTCCTTTCATTGCTTTTTCTCATGGCATTTTATCACAGCAACATAAAATAACTAATGCACTGGGTGAGCAATCTTAACACAGGATGCCTTTGTGGTATTTATTATTTTTCCTTATAAGATCCAAATGTTCAAGTGAGGCAAGGAGAAAGTTCAAAATGTGACATCAGGAAACACCATTATGCCTTTGTTTTTTATTTATCATGTCCTATATCCTTTCCTTTCTCTTCCCTAAATAAGAAATTTCGATATTTCCAGCCAGAGACTTCTAGATGTTGACTGCCTTCATTCATAAATGATGTGTCCAATATTTAAGTAATAGTTTTGAAAACACTGTAATTTTTGAGTAATTCAGACTAAAAAAGCTAATTTCTCTAAAATGTAGTTTATACTTAAAAGATACTCCACAGTTGACAGACAGCAATGGTATTTGGAAAGCTATTTTGCAAAATTTCATGTCTTCTCCAGAATTAAACTATTAGGGAGAATGCACTTAATGCCTTAGAATTCAGTACACAATACGCTTATTGTTGTGATCAATCACTAAAACAGTTTTAAAATACACTCTTCAGTTCTTTTTCAACATTCTTTTCTTCATGAAGTGAAGGGGAATTCACTTTCCATTTACTGCAGGCTAAAGAGTGACCCTAAGAAACAAATGAACAGGAAGTCGAGAGTCAACAGTCTTCAGAGCCCAAGTCACAGGAATCTCCTGTTTGCTCATTCACTGAGGGAAGTTAGCTTCTGTATAGTCTGAAGACTTAAGAGTCTCATGGCTTCCTGTCAACTGGCTTGAGCATCCCAGAAACAGATCCTTAACTCTCACCCTGACAGGCCACTCCCAGACTCCTAAGCCACAGAATATGTGAGCTAACAAATATGTTTGTTGCAACTACTAATTTTGGGTATAAATTTATTAGATATCCACCTTTTATTTCTCAGACATACCTTAATTGAAAATTTTCTTTTTAAAAGAAGTATAACTAAAATATAGATTATGCCCTTCTAAGCCGAAACACTACATCACCTGAAACTTCTTGAGTTAACATGACACAAATGCATTACCTTTGCAACCTATTTATCCAAAAAATAGTAATTTTTTTTAATCTGGTATACAAAATACTTCCATTCTCAAGCATTTTGGATACGGATGCTCATACTGTATCGTGACATATTACTGGAAGGACACTTGGCTTTTCTTAAGATGACAATGTACAGATGGTGTGTGCAGAACTGGCTCCTTGAAAAAGCAAACAAAGCCAATCTGGGAAAGAATGATTCAGCTGCATTAAATTAGAAATGCATCCCCAACTGTAATTGCTAGATCCATTTTCCTGTTGGCCATGGCAAAGTTTTTGTGGTTTAGATAAACAATCTACAATCAGCTCAAAAGAAAAGGTGATCACTGGAAAATTTCTAACTGTACCAGAGACGTTGAAGTATAATTCATTCCTGGTCAGTTTAAATAACTGAGGCAAGACTTAGCTCTACAATGACATGGACAATTCTGTTTGATTTTCAAGAGTAGCCAAGGACAAGTGCTGTGTTTATGATGGAATATTTTGAATACATATACAGAAAGACAGAAAGGACATGCAACAGATTTTAGTTTTAGGCTTCTCATTCATCCACTGTTGTATTATGATTGTTTTCTCAAGCCATCTTCCACACTAATGTATTCCTGGCAATGGTATTTTTTTTAACTGGCTCGGGGTTTTGGTGGCAGTGGTGGTATAGGAGATTGAACCCAGGGTTGCGTCCATGCTTAGTACCTGCTTTAACAGTAAAACTATACAGTCAATCTGTAATATTTCTGCTGGCAATATTTTAATTCTTTTAAATCTAAGAAGTGTAATTTATCTAAATAATCACCTTCTCATACTTCGGTTGTTTTCACCTTTGAAGTTATCAGTAACATTGTACGGACTATCAGTCAAAGTTTGCCTTCCCTTCCACCTCCCAATCCTCACTCTCTCCTTCCAGCCCCACCCAGTACAAATTGCCAAGCTACTTCCAAAAATGCCAAAACAGCTTACAAGCTCAGCAACATTATAGTAAGATTTCCAATTGACTATGTCCCTATCCACACTATGGAACTCTCTCAATTGTGCCTTTTGTTTTTTATGAGACTCTGAATTATTCAAACACACTTCTGTCATCTCCACAACTATTTGACACCATTTGTTCCCATACTTGCAAACAATTTAGTTGATGTTAATCCCTTAAGGATGCCAGAAGACTGAAAACTCCTTTGCAATAGGAAAATAGCATTTTAAAATAGTGGTGAATCATATGAAAGACAGGAACCAAAAGAATGCCCCACCAAAAAACTTGAGTTTGCTGAGCACACAGTATTTTGGGGATCATGGTCATCAGACACAGTATCGCCTTTGCTTAAACATGGTTGTGAAACACTATTCAGAGTTCTCTTGAAGAGATTTCTTTGTTGAAGATGCTGACAGAGTTCCATAGATAAGTGCGTGTGTTAGATATGGACATTATCAGGTTCGAATCTTGGCTTATAGCATCTATGCTCTTTGGTGTTTCTTTAGAATTGTGCAACAAAATGTTGAGAGAATGAAATGACACAACACCCAGCATGGAGCCAGTGAGATGCTCAGCATGTGTTAGGTATTTTTATCAGTATTTTCTTCTTTTATTGTTAATTTATTTTTTATTTAAGTTAGAAACAAGCTTGCTTCGCATGTCAATCCCAGCTCCCTTTCCCTCCCCTCCTCCTCCATCGCCCTTGAGCCCTCCCAATCCCCCACTCCACTCCCCAGGGAGGGTGAGGTACTCCATGGGGGATCTCCAAGGTCTGTCATATCATCCAGTGCAGCCCCCCCCATGTGTCCAGGCTGAGAGAGCACACCTCCATATGGAATGGGCTCCCAAAGTCCATTGGTATGCCAGGGATAAATACTACCCAAGTCCCCATAGATTGCCTAGGCCTCCTTACTGACATACAAATTTAGGGTGTCTGGATCAGTTCCATTTGGCCTCTCAGTCATCAGTCTGGGTTTCATGAGCTCCCTCTTGTTCAGGTCAGCGGTTTCTATGGGTTTCATCAGCCCTGTCTTCACCCCTTTGCTCATCACTCCTCCCTCTCTGCAACTGAGTTCCAGGAGATCAGTTTAGTGTTTAGCTGTGGGTGTGTGCCTCTGCTTCTATCTAAGGTAGTCACCAATCTCATGACTGGGTTATCTCACTCAGGATGGTTCTTCTAGTTTCAGTGCAGACAAGTCTAGAAGGAAACGTTGTGGCCCATTTCCACCAGCAGAGGGCAGAGCAAGAATGAATATGATGTTTTCTGTTTCACTTCTAACTGAGAAAAATACAATGTCATCTGAATGGGACACTGAAATATCACTTAGTAATTCTTAAATCTTGAGAGGGGCCTGAGAGACTTACAAATAGAAAAAGAAACATGAATTATATATAAAAGTGATTGCAATATAATTTGAATATATAGAACTAGTATATACTCAATTACATATTTTATTTTAAATTACATTTAGCATGTGTGCATGCATGTGCACCACATGTGGTGTGTGTGTGTGTGTGTGTGTGTGTGTGTGTGTGTTTGTACTTGTGTGTACATATACAGATCAAAACGCAATTTATAGGAGTCAGTCCTCTTCTACCATGTGGGTTTGGGAATTAAATTTAAATCCTCGGGCTTGGTATCACCAGTACTTACTTGCTGAGGTACACCTACACCTAGCATACTGCCACAAATAAATATTGTCAAACAGGGAAAACTTGGAAGGGAAGAAAAATATAAAGCAATCATGAGGATTTTCTTTAATTGAAAAAGACCTGGCAATACCCTCACAATTGTTCTAAAATATGATACAGGTGAAGAAAATGAAAAGATGGAGGACTCGTACAACAAGCAACACGTTTTCTAGAAACAAGATACTAAGACAGAGTGTTACAAACATAAGTGTATGTGGCAGAGGTGGAGACCAAAAAAATAAACAAAAATAAAGTTCTGTAAGCAGAATGAGGTCCAGATCATCATAGGCTGCTCAGGAACGGACCTGCCCAAGGGAGGAAGAGCAGACATTCTCACTTTTTTTTTCTCACTAGTGGCGACCACGTGACATTGAATTCTACTTCAGACACTAATTGGCCCTCAGGAATATCAGCCCTGTGGTTACTATAAAGCAAATGGCAGCCAACTGTTACCAAATACTCTTGGTTTTAATGGTGTTTGTCATGAGCATTGACTTAGACGACTTGCTTAAATAAAAATTAAGTTCTGGTACACAGTGAACTTTTTGACTTATTAGATGGTATTCCTAGTCAATAAGAAAAAGATGCTCATATCCACTGAACTCAAGACACCAAAGAGGCCACCAGACCTGGAGGAAGCCTCCCTGAAGACAGAGATTCCTGGAGGAGGTCTGCTCTGGCTCCTCCCAGCGACCCTTTCAACTGAAGCCTGTGGAAGCAGAGGTGCATTTATTAGACATTATTGTCCAAGGGCTTCTGCCCCTCTAGTGATCTGTTAAGTCAACCCCAACCCCAGTGCCTATTTATAATCCATTTCATGTATAAAAGTTAATTGTAGGTGTGAGAGGGCAGAAAAATTATTACAATCTCACTTTGGAACATCTACCCCAGACACACTGAATGGAATTATCCAAACTGTATATGTTTAATGTTTATAGTAAATGAATCTCAAAACACCACATTTAGAAACTGCTGAGCTAGAGGGGTGCTAGAAAAGACAGGATAATAATAATGTATAATACAAAAATGATATCACATTTTCAATAGGATTTTCTGTGTGCAAAATGACTTTATATATATATATTTTCTACTGAACTATATATAATAGCCATCTGAGACAACTATAATATAAATAGCAAACTTAAATTGCATATTTTACATGCATCATATTGCCATATTCTCTATGATTTAAACTGCCAGGATCCTAAGTATTAAAGAATGTGGCATTGAATTCAGGTTTGAATCCAGTGTACCCAATACCTTGAGTTGTGAACTTCTAAAATGCAACACCATCTCACTGACTTTTGAGAAAACAGAAACAGGTCTTATGAGAATTACATCCAATTCTCAATGGAAACTCTAAAAGCCAGAAGGACCTGGACAGATGTTTTGCCAGCCCAAACTATTATATCCAGCAAAGCTTTCAATCACCATAGATGAAGAAAAAAAGATATCCCATGACAAAACCAAATTTAAATAATACCTACCTGAAAATTCAGCCCTACAGAAGGTGCTAGAAGGAAAACTCCAAGCCAAGGAAGTTAACTGCACCCATGAAAACACAAGCAATAGATAATCTCATACCAGCAAAATCCAAAGAAGGGAAACACAGACACACACACACATACACACACACTAGACCACCACCACCAAAACAAAAAACAAACAACAAAAAAATAAGAATTAATAAGCACTTGTCATTAATATCTCTTAATATCAAAGGATTCGATCCACCTACAAAAAGACACAGGTTAATAGAATGGACACGAAAACAGAATCCATCCTTCTGGTGCATACAAGAAACACACCTCAACTTCAAAGACAGATGTTACCTCAGAGTAAAGGGATGGGAAAAGATTTTCCAATCAAATGGACCTAAGAAGCATGGTGGTGTAGCTATCCCAATATTTAACAAAATAGACTTCAAATTAAAATTAATCAAAAGCTATGGAGAATATTTCATATTCATCACAGGAAAAATTCATCAAGATGAAGTCTTAATTCTGAACATCTATGTCCTAAATATGAGAGCACCCACATTTGTAAAAGAAATATTACTACAGCTTAAATCACACATCAAACCCCACATATTAATAGTGGGAGACCTCAGCACCCCACTCTCACCAATGGACAGGTCTGCCAGACAGAAACTGAATAGAAATAAGAACTAACCGATGTTATAACTCAAATGAACCTAACAGACATCCATAGAACATTTCACCCAAACACAAAAGAATATACCTTCTTCTCAGCACTACATGGAACCTTTTCTAAAATTGGCCACATACTCAGTCACAAAGCAAATCTCAACAACAACAAATATGAAATAACCCCTTGTATCTTATTGGATCACCATGGGTCCAAGTTGGAGTTCAATAACAACATCAACTACAGAAAACCTACAAAATCATGGAAACTGAACAACTCTCAACTGAATCACTAATGTGTCAAGGAAGAAATAACTCAAGAATAGTAGATGGATGGAAATAATCTAACTCAGGGCTGAAATCAATAAAATAGAAACAAAGAAAACAGTACAAAGAATCAATGAAACAAAAAGTTGGTTCTTTAAGAAAAATCAACAAGATAGATAGACCCTTACCAAAATTAACTAAGAGGCAGAAAGAATATCCAAATTAACACAATCAGAAACGAAAAGGGGGACATAACAGAAGACAACTGAGGAAATCCAGAGAATCATTAAGTCATACTTCAAAAATCTGCAAGTCACAAAAGGAGATCAAGTGGGTACAAATTGGAAAGAAGTCAAAGTATTGCTATTTGCAGATGATATGGTGGTATACATAAATAACCTGTGGCGATATTTTTATGATTTATTAACGTTTTTTGCTTAAGGATTCAGAAAGCAAAGTCAGCCACAAGCTATAGAACCCAGGCAGACACCTTTAATCCCAGCAGCCAGAAGCTAGGAAGTAGTGGTACAACCTTTAATCCTAGAACTCAGGAATCAGAGGTAGAGGGATCTCTGTAAGTCCATGGCCACCCAGATCTACACAAAATTGATCCAGTCCTAAAGAGAAGCAGCTCGCCCAAAGATGATCTCAGCATCTGACATCACATGTCTTTAATCCCAGCACTAGAGGGGTATGAGCAGGGTCTTCAGTGGTCGGTATCGAACATTCATTCTCCAACTACATTGAGGATATGAGGGATTCATTCTCCAGCCACATTGAGGATAGGAAGACATTAAAATCTCAGGATTCTCCAGCCTCGATGAAGAGATTTCAGTTTGAGGTTTGGGAGAGCTTGTGGATCAGTCATTTCAATCTGAGGTAGAGTGAAAGCTAATGCCCAGCTGCTTTGCTTTTCTGGTCTTCAGCTTGAAACGTGAACCCCAATACTAGTGACTAGGTGTTTTATTTATCGTGTTCCAGTGACCCCAAATATTCTACCAGGGAACTCCTGCAGCTGATAAACACCTTCAGCAATATAACTGGATACAAGATTAACTTAAAAAAATCAGTAGCCCTCCTATATATAAATGATAAATGGACTGAGAAAGAAATCAGGAAAATAACACCCTTCAGAGTAGCCACAAATAATATAAAATATCTTGTGACAACTCTAACCAAACAAGTGAAAGACCTGTATGACAAGAGCCTTAAGTTTTTGAAGAAACTAGAAAAGATATCAGAAGATGGATGCAAAATAAAAGGAAAATTTTAATTAATAAAAATAAAAATGGAAAAATTCTAAAAATAATTCATGAGTTTTAAAAAAACAGTAAATAAATAAAGGTTTTAATTAGTAAGTGGTGTATGACAGAATTGAGGCTACTTGACTGGATCAGAAGGAAAGGCCAGTTTCTCTGACTGGATCTATATTGTAGTTTTGTAAGAACACATCATGGACACATACAGAAAGCCTGTGTTAGCTCATGTGGAAACTAACTTATACCCCTAGTCAACAAGCAGCATTGACTAGCTGATATAAGTGGCTAGACACGTACAGAAGTCTGACATTTGAGCTTTCCAACAGTCCCCAGGTCAAGCTCTCTTGGAACTAAGAATTGCTGGTCTTTCTGTATCCTGTCCAAATTGTTGTCTTCTAGACCCATAAGCATAAAATTACTGCAGTATGTCACTGAGCTCTGGTGTCATTAGCCACAGTCATTGTAAGCAGAGCTCTGCTAACACTCAACAACTGCTTGAGAGAAGCGAGCCATGCAAAATGAGGCAAACCACAGAGCTTTCTCCTCAAAGTACTCCTAAGCAGAACTAGATGAACACAGGTATGCGGACAGCACAATTCATTGTCTATCTCTGTCTTGACCTGCACCTGGCTTGAGCTCTTGAAACTTCAAAGCTCATCCCCTAGTGACACACTTCTTCCAACAAAGTCACATCTACAAGCCTATGGGGGCCATTCTTATTCACACCTCCGCAATCTTCTTTAAACATCATATCACTTTCTGTTTTTCTGTTTTGTAATAAATATGCCCCTGCCCTAAGTCCCTGCCCTTGCTCCCCCGCCCACTTAGGCTCTCTTCTCTTCACTGTCTTTTCCCTCTTGCTCTCTGCTCTCCATGCTCCCCTTCTCCACCCTCTCACCTCTCTTCACTCTTACTCTCCACTCTTACTTCTCTTCACTCTTACTCTTCGCACCCCCCCCTTCCTGCTGCTGTGATAAACTATGGTTAATGTACTTACTCTCTATGGCTGTAACGCTCTGGTCCAGGTTCCATCTCGAGCCTTCGCCTTTTTTTCCCCCGAATTTTTAAACTTTTACAAAAGAACATCACTAGTGATCTTCATTTACCTAGGACTATAGAAAATGAAGGATTAAATAATACATCCTGATGCTGGCTCAGTGTTTCCCCATCTATCTGCCATAGTATTAACAACATGGGGAATTCTACACGGGGGAGAAAAGACTTCACTAATTAAGATGCTAAAATCGTCTAACTAAGCTGGGCGTTGGTGGCACACACCTTTAATCCCAGCACTCGGGAGGCAGAGGCAAGCGGATCTCTGTGAGTTCGAGACCAGCCTGGTCTACAGAGCTAGTTCCAGGATAGCCTCCAAAACAATACCCTGTCTCAAAACAAAACAAAACAAAAGTCTAACTATGAGAACAACTAACAAAAATGGCCAACATTTTCCTCTCTTGGGTTTTAAGAAGATTACTTTGTAAGTAGCAGAAGAAACTCTCCTACTTAATGAATAGTCGTGCTGCATAGCTCCTTAAGACGCATTCACAGTGCATGCATTTTTGTATAGCACACTTAGAGGAAAATTTCATGTTTTGATATATTTGACTTACTGTGACAATACGTATGAATTACGTTGCAGCCAAACCTCATTGTTTGCAAAAGCACTCATTCCTGGATGTGTTTTTAAGAGTCTCTCAACGACATCCTCAAGTTTAAGTTCCAATGGGACTACGAAGCCATATAGTCCTCCCTGTAAGTTCTCAGGAGAGGGAGAGGGAAAAAGAGGGGGAGAGGGAGGAGAGAGGGAGGGAGGAAGGCAGGGAGGGAGGGAGGGAAGGAGGGAGGGAAGGAGAGAGAGAGAGAGAGAGAGAGAGAGAGAGAGAGAGAGAGAGAGAATATCATTTTTAATTTCAGTTGCGTTGCACTCGGAAGTCAAAGAAGACTTTAAAAACTCCAAAGTCAGCAATGTTCTGACCATAACACCCTACATTTTTAACGTGTGTACTCTAATTCCTGCATGTTATCGCCCCCCTCAAAGATGCAGCTTGCATGACGAAAAAAAATGGAGGGTTCAATCCCCTTTCAATGAGATGAAAAGTGCTGGGTCAAATCAGGAAGACTGATACACATGACATGGAAATAACCTAGAGGTGAAGCGGTGCTCTTTCCTGTCTAAAAAAAGTCCGCCAAGCCCAGAGCCCTCAGTGAGCCGACTGGGCTGAAAGACAAAGGAAGGAAAAGTCCTTGCCCACACTGAGGAGAAAGCCTGCTAAATATTTAATGCCTCAGGCTCACGGAGCCGCTCAGCCGCTTCGATATTTACGGCTTTGATTACTTCCTGTCTTTCACTCCCTCTCCCTTTCTTACTAAACACCGGGCTTTCACTCTCTCCGAAATCAGCCTATCCTCAGCTGCTTTGCCCCTGCCCTTTTGACCTTCTGTAGCTCTTTCCTTTCAACCCAGGATTCCAGGGATCTCTTCTCTCAGCTAAGGTTCCTCTATGTGATAACACGTCCCGGGTCACCCAAACTTGGGGCTACAGATTCCTCAGGCCCATTTCTTCTTATCTCTAAAGCCCAGGTCTCTTCACTTCTACTCTTAACTACTCTGAGTGGGTGTGCCCTGCAATCCCCCATCGGGTGCAGACCTTTGTGACCACGGGAAAGGGAATTGTTAACTTTCAAACCCAGGACAAGAGGCTAAATTGCCTATTTAGCATGTCAAAGAGCCTGGCTGCCAGGTTCTCCCAGCACCCCCCCCCCCCACCCCGTCCCTACCAGTTGCTAACTTATCCCTCCCTCTACCCTGAACTTTCCAGCCCAGGGGCGAGGCTGCCCTCCCCCCAGAGGCATAATGCAGCTAGTTTTGATTACCAGCCCTTTGGTACCTTTGGCTTCCTGACTGCGGCCTGGTTCCCCTCCCTGTTTCTGCCTACGGCCCAGCTCACTCTGGCCTCTCCCAGATGTCCCTGCCTCTACCCACTCTCTCCCTTTTATCTACAATAAACCCTCTCCTCCACTGTATGTAGTAGTAATCCTTTTCTTTCCCTTTTTCTTTCTTTCTTTGGTTGTTTCATTGCAGACCAGGCTGTATGGAACTCTCTGGCGCCTCTTAGACCTGGCAAAATGTGGGCAGAGGAGAGTACAACGTTAAGTTTAGGAAAAAAAATTTCTTATGTCCTGGTGCTTGAGGGGAGGAAGATCATAAGATGAGGAAGGGGTTCCTGAGGGGGTCCCAAGATGAAGGAAGGGAGTCCCAGGACCAGGGAAAGGTTGAATAATATTTATTTGGAGTGAATCTGACCTTTTTGGATGGGTTCAATCGGCTCCCTGGAACTTACGAGAATCCTTTGAATTTGTGAAAATATAAATATTAGACACATTAGCAATATACTCATGTCAGAAATGATTTGGTTGAAAGCATTAACACTTTTACCCAGCACTCGGGAGGCAGAGGCAGGCGGATCTCTGTGAGTTCGAGGCCAGCCTGGTCTACAGAGTGAGTTCCAGGACAGTCTCCAAAACAATATAGAGAAACCCTGTCTCGAAAAACAAAAAAAAAAAAAACCACTTTTAAACCTGTCAGATATCTTTGGCACAATGAAAAGCACCTTAATTTTAACCTTGCAGTTATTGTACAGCAGCATAGTATGGTGTTTAGTACCCTGTCAGAGTCAGATTAATAGCTTATCATAACCTTATTGATTAATGTTAAGGCTATGAACAGTAGCATAATGAGAGAGAAATTTGATAACTTGCATTTGTACACCTTAAGTTAGTTTGTTATACCTTAAAACATGTTTAGATTCATACATCTTAAGCTTTTTTATGTTCTTACATAAACTTTAAACCTTAAAACATCTTTTTTAGATGAAGGAATGGTAAAAGTTATATTAAAACCTACCAGCCACCAAACTGCATCAGAGTTCTTGAGAAGGGTAACATTTTGCCTGAATTAATTATTAGAGAATGAGAGAGACTTGCTGTCGCACCTGCTGTGCGGCCTGCATCCGAGAATGTAGCGAGGTGGTCAGGATAGATGACACAGAGACCGGTCGGTTGCTTTAAGAAAACTTTATGCTTCCCAAGTCAGCTTAGGAGGAGACCCCAGTCCGCTTAGGAGAGCTCTCAGGAGAAATCTCAGGAGAAGTCTCTGGCGAAATCTCTGGAGAAGTCTCCCCAAGAAAAAGGGCTTCCCTTTTTAAGGACTTTTGCCATCCATTTACATACCATTCTTTCCACTTCTCACCCTCCTGGCTGGTGGTTTAATCTCCGGCCCCAGAATCGGGGAGACACCACAGGGGGCAGGAAGAGGCATCTAGCCATAGGAGGTGTGGAAGGCATGGTATTTCAGTGAGCCAGCCCTAATCTGAGCCCTATCAAGCTTTAAAGCACTGAATTGTTTTCAGTAAACATTACATAGATGCCTGCTCCCAGGCCGAAGGGGAAGTGGGTTTCTGCTCAAGGTCTGGTGTCCCCACAATTCACCCCTTTTTATTTTTAAATGAGGCACTCCTGTCTTAGGTCAAGTAGGGTCACCCTCCCTGGCCCGTCTTTGGGGGACCTTGAACCCCTGTTAGGTGGGAGTGGGTCTTCCCCACAAGTTGCCCGTCATTGAAGTAGCCCCACCCTTAAAATCATTTGTAATAAGGCTTTATGGCTATCGGGATTGCCATGGGCTAAGGCACTTTGAACTCAGCATGAAGCCAGAATGCCTACTGCCACTGTTACCATTCCTAGGACCCCCACTGACATAGGCCTCTCTGTCACCTGCCCATCCCCCGATCTGGGCCTTAGCATTCTACCACCAGCCTTTCTTTGCTACAAGGGTGATTTATAGTTACAATTTGACGGTCAAAACAGTGATAAAGTTTACAATTATTTTAAGATCTACTTAGGAAAGCATTAGAGAGTGCGCTTGCACAGATACATTAGGTACAATCATTGATGTTACACATGTAGCATTATAAAAAATATGAACAAGAGGCTTGTTGCACTATTTACAGGGTACCAATTTGTTCCTGTGGTGATGTAGTCTGTTGATTTAATGTCAGTAGTATCAGCCGAACATGCAACCCGAGTCAAAGTCTTTTTGTCGCACCAGGACAAACCACATTTCTCCAGAAAAACACACTGTGATTCCAGAAACAGGAACTACCGAGTCTGATATTTCAAGTGACCATGTCCTGTTCAAATACTGAAAAAAGGCTTTTGCCATTCATCACAGTCCATACCAATGTCTAAATGTTAAATGGGTCCTTTTTCCCCCAAAGGGAAAAGCTGGCAAAATGAATTCTGTTGTTTTAAGGTGTATCAAAGGCTAGCTGCTAATCTTCCAGTTTTGTTGGCTTTGGGATGAAAACTCACGGGTCCAGGAGGTTGATGTAGCAAGCCTGATGAGAAACTGGAAATCTCGAACTGACTGTTTTATTTCTTTCTCGGGCTGTAGATTTGATGACATCAAGGGTCAGGAACACTGATTTAGGAGATCTCGAACTGGCTTGAGCAGGCTCCCACGGTCTCAGGTCCAGTTTTTTTGCTCCATGCATCTCACCAGATGTTGTGACCGCTACTGAAGCTTTATTCTTTTCCTGTAAGAAAACACAAACATGCCCTCGACCCCAAATTAGGGTCTTCTCTACTGTCTAGTGTATGGATGTTTCCATTTGGCCTGAGTAATAGTTATTTAACTTTTATTATGTCAGAATCTGTCTGAAGCAGATTCCTCACTGGCATTTATATTTTATAAATATTTAAATGAGGAGTGGATTATTTAATGAATCATGTGGAGACTGGGGACATTACTCCCTTTTATTTTTAAATTTTGTTTGAACTGTTGAAGTTGGACCATAACAGTAGAAGGATTTGTCTACCCTCCTTAGTCAACTATCTAGGTGAATTGGGATCACTATTTAAAGTATTAGTAGATGTCCTTTAAAAGGGACATAACCATTAAGTACCTTTGAGAATCATTTAAGGATTGTAAACTATACTATGTCCCAAATAGTCCTTTTTTTTTTTTCTAACCTGTAGCTCTCACTAGCTGACAAGGCCTCGTTTGCATCTGAACTGACAAGGCCTAATTTGCATCTACACAGACACCTTTGGGGGTGGGGGCCTGCCAAAGCGGCAGGACAGTTCCCTGAAAAAAACTCTCTTCTCTCTCTCTCTCTCTCTCTCTCTCTCTCTCTCTCTCTCTCTCTCTCTCTCTCTCTCTCTCTCTCTCTCTCTCTCTCTGACTGGCTCTGAGGGCTTAACTTGAATTTTTTGTTAAAATATTAACCGACTGACTGGATGTTTCTTTTGGCTATATCTAAATCGATTTAGGTAGTTTTTAACTGTTTGAAGGGATTTAAGTATCCCTTTAATCATATCCAAGGCAATTAGAACAGTTGCTTTTGTCAACATTCACGCATTTACATTTCACACTTCATACATACTGACATGGCCACATCCATACACACAGACCATGCATACATATCTCTCCTTGCCTAGGTTATGATTAGTTTGTTGAACTGAAACTTCTTTAACAGAACAACTCTAGTCAATCTTTGAATTAAAACAAAAGGTTGAAAAAGTCCTGTATGTCCCTCGTCATTTCTTCATTAGAGAAGTTTGGAGCTACACTCAGGGGCTACAGCCATACCCACTCCTTGTAATTCTGTAGATGCAAAGTGGAAAGGCCAGGCTTTTGCCAAAAGTTTTTAGAGATGACTCACAAAATTGACCTTAAATTTGTATCAATAACCTACCCCATATA